TGGGGGGAGGTGTGCCGTCATAGGGCTGGGGAGCCCCCACAACACGGGTGCTAGACCCAGGGTGCTAAGCAGCCTCCGGGAGAGGGAGGCAAAAGGCTACAAGCCCTGTGGTCAGTGCCAGCAGCCCAGGCACAGCATGGAGCTGGTGGGGGGGGCCATGGTGGGGGGGAAATGATTTGGGGTTCAACAGATCAAAAGACACTAGGAAGAGGAAGGAAATAATCCAGGGGTCTGTGAGGTGGAGCGTAGGGCTCCTAGCCCCCTGCTTCCCTGCTCTGTTCTGCCCTGCTACATCCCCAGGCACCCCACCCCTGCACCCTCTGTCCTGCTCAGCCCTGCTGTGCCGTGTTTCTGGCATCCCACACTTGCACCCCATTTCTCAGCTCCCTGCTGTCCCCCTCTCGTCCTCCACCAGCCTTTGGAACACCCCACCCCGTGTTTCCATCTCCCCTTGGCTGCCAGAAGGCAGGGAGGGCTCCCACAGGGGATGTCCCTGACTCGTGGTCCCCTGGGTGCCACCGACAAGATGGGGGAGTTTCCCTGGCATACACCTGGGGAGCCCTTGGCAGCTGTAGCAGTGCGGCTGTGGGTGGTGGGGGCAGAGGATCGGAGTCACCTGGGAGGCCTAGAGAGGGGCACGGGCAGCTCTTGCTGTTGTGGGGCAGAAGTGGCACCACGAGGCACCGTCCGCCCATCCAATGCAATTAGGGGACAGGATCAGAGCCCGAGTCCTGGGGCAGATGCCCTCACGCCCATGAGAGAGGGGGGGGGGGGGGGGGAGGGGAAGGGGCAGCTCTTAAACTCCCCAGGGAGGGCAAATCTCAGTTTAAAAAAATCCAGTGTTAATTAGAAATCTCAAACGATCTCATTGTCTCTGTGCACTGCCCTTGCCCTCCCCCCCAGCCCGCAGATAGACCTGGCGGGCTGCTCACCTGAGGCCTGGCTGGAAGCTCGTAAGGAAGAGAGGGTGTCCTGCCCCTGGACTGGGGCTGCGGGTGCTTATATCTCCTGTCCTGTGGGGCCAGCCCGCACTACCCACCCATTGGTCCCATGGCTGGGGGCCTCGCTGCTGGGCTGGGGAGGGGAATGTGCTGATATGGGGCTGTACGATTGCTACCTGGCAAATCCCTGGTAAACAGGCCGAGGCTAAAGGTTGCATCGTGGGCTGAGCTGGCCAGAGCTGGGGTTCGCAGCAGTGCACCGTGCACAAGGCCATCGGGATAAACACCATTGTCACCAGGCAGTGGCTAGGGACTGCAGGGTGGTCCTGCGATGGGCACTGCAGCAGCGTGCTCTGTCCCTTTAAAGGGCAGTGGCACCTGGGGCCAGTGGCCACTGTCCCACTTAATCCCCCAGGGTACGTCTACACTACAGTGCTAGTTCGAACTAACTTAGTTCGAATTAGTTAATTCGAACTAAGCTAATTCGAACTAACGCGTCTAGAACTAAAAACTAGTTCGAATTAGCGTTTTGCTAATTCGAACAGGCAAGTCCACATTGAGTGGACTCTGAACAGGGCTTAAGGAGGGCCGGAAGCAGTGCCGGCAGGGCATCAGAGGAGGACTTAGAGCGTGGAGAAGCTGTCTCAGGCTAGCCGAGGTCTGCGCTTAAAGGGTCCCGACCCCCACCCCGGACACACAGTTCTAAGGGGTGCCCCGCTTGCAAAGAAGTTCTGGCTTGGAGTGCCCTGAGTGCCCACACTGGGCACATCACACCACTCGGCCATCAGCCCGGCTGCACTTGCCGCAGGCTGCCATCTGGGGAGAGGAAGTAATTGGGGGGCTGCAGGAGAGCTTCCACCCCCAGAAGCCCGCAGAGCCAGCCCAGTCCTCCCCATCGGGGGCTCGTACCCCATTCCTCCCTCACCTCCTTCCACTTACCCTTCCCTAGCCCCCCTTCTTATTGATGTACAAAATAAAGATAACGTTTCTTCCAACATTGACTCTGTCTTTATTGAACAAAACTGGGGGAGACTGGGAAAAGGAGGTGGGAGAGGGGAAGAGAAAGGCTGGGAGAGGGGAGGGCAACTAACATGATCAGGGGTTGGGAACAGGTCCCAGATGAAGAGAGGCTACAGAGACTGGGACTGTTCAGCTTAGAAAAGAGGAGACGGAGGGGGGACAGGATAGAGGTCTCTAAAAGCAGGGGTTGGGTGGAGAGGGTGCATTCAGAAAAGTTCTTCCTGAGTTCCCATAAAGAAGGACTAGAGGACACCAAAGGAAAGGAATGGGTAGCAGGCTTGAAACTAGTAAGAGAAAGTTGTTCTTCTTGACAAAGCAAATAGTTAACCTGTGGAACTCCTTGCTGCAGGAGGCTGTGAAGGCTACAACTAGAACAGAGTTTAAAGGGAAGTGAGATCAAGTCATGGAGGTTGGGTCCATGGAGTAGTCTTAGCCAGGGGGTAGGAGTGGTGTCCCTGCCCAAAGTTTGTGGAAGGCTGGAGAGGGATGGCACGAGACAAATGGCTTGGTCACTGTCTTCGGTCACTGTTGGCCACTGTCGGCAGACAGGCAACTGGGCTATATGGACCTTTGGTCTGACCCAGTACGGCCATTGTAAGCTCAGGGCTCAGGGTCGGGGGTCTCAGTGGACCCCCTTGATTTTCATGCACACCTGGTCCTGGGTGGCCAGGCTGGCAGCCCTCCTGCCCTAGATGGCCACTTTCCTGAACCTAGTGCAGAGATCATGGACAAGGTCCATTATGTCTGCACTAGCCCAGGAAGGTGCCCACTTCTTGCGGTCCTGGGCAAGCTCCCGGGAGCCGCCAGCCTGGGCCTGGGGAGAGGG